TTTTTTTTTTTTTTTTTTTTTTTTTTTTTTTTTTTATATCTCTGCCGCTTCTGCTGCTGCCGCCAGTACTGCTGCCGCCGCCTCCGTGCCCGCGCCCCGGAGATGTCCTTCCCCCAGCTGGGCTACCCGCAGTATCTCAGCGCCAGCCAGGCGGTGTACGGGAGCGACCGGCCCGGGGTGCTGGCCGCCGCCGCCGCAGCCGCCGCCGCCGCCGCCGCCGCCTCGGGCCGGCCCGCGGGCGCCGAGCTGGGCAGCGGCTCGGCCGCTGTCACCTCGGTGCTGGGCATGTACGCCAGCCCCTACAGCGCCCCCAACTACAGCGCCTTCCTGCCCTACACCGCCGACCTCGGCCTCTTCTCCCAAATGGTGAGTGAGCACCGCGCTGCCCCCGCGCTTGCCCGGGCCCGCCGAGCGCGGCCGCGGAGGCCGGGGGAGCCGGGGGCGGGGGGCGGCGGGCCGGCTGCGGTGGCGGCTCACACCCGGCGCTGGGTCCGCCGTGGAGAGGGAAGCGTGGTTGTCGACGGGTCTGCGGGCGAGAGTGGGGCTGGGGGTCGCGGGCTCCGTCTGCACGCGAAGCCCCCCATCTTCCTCGTCGTTCCAGTCGGGCAAAACTCCTCCGAGTTTTCCTTGGCGGTGGAACCGCTAAGCAGGGCTCCTGCCTCCGTATTGTCGGTTTTCCCTAGCAACTCGGCTATATTTTTGTTTTCTTTTCATTCTTTGTTGTTATTGGTGGTGTTGTTGATGGGTGATATTGTCGGTCCTGCTGTTTCACTGGGTTTTCCAGCGCGCTCCTCTTGCCGCTTGGTACTTTTCTTTGCCGCTGAGCAATAAACAGGTTCTGTCCGAAAGGCCAAAGTGTCGGTACCTGGGGCGCCCGTTTATTTCAAGGCATTTTCCTTAAGCCTTGAAAATGTCCCGTTCTGTTCTTTGAACTTTTCATACTCTGATTATGGCGGGTATCATAGATGGGATTTGCATGAAACGAAAGAGGGCATCTACATCCCACTATAGGCATCGAGGCAAAAACGCATATCAGCGTTAATTCTAAGAGACATGTAGCCACCCAGACTGTCTTCGGGATTAATCTGACATTTTCTTACAAACGTAATAGTTAGAAAGTGAAACATTTTTTTTTCAAAACGAACTGTTTTAATATCCGGTGTTGTTGAAACATTTTCGTTGCTGGTATTACCAAAATTGTCGGCGGCGCTACACATAGGTTCCACTTAATTTTCTAAATGTCCCTCTGCTCTCCCCCTGACACGGAAAAGTGCGAATATTTATAACTGAATGCACGCAATACATAACTTGTTAGAGTTTTTAATACATATATGTAGGCAAATAGGAAAATACACTGTTGAACAAGGGACAGCATCTGAAAACAGATGATTTTTCTACTGCAAACATTTCCTATAAAGTCACCTTAAACAGCGTGCATTTCCTAGTAATTTTTTTTAACCTTGATTTTGGAAACGCAGTAAAAGTTGAGACAGAAGCAATGAGTGATTCACATGTGGCTTCTTCAAAAGAATTCCCAACAGAGTTTACACAAAAAATATAATTTCAACAACAATAACAAAAGACAGTAGAATAAAGGGAGTGCAGAAAGCCCACTCTGTAACACATTACAAAAATTAAATCGGGCTACTCTTTGTGTATAAGCGGTGTCTCTGAAATTAAAATACATGAACATTCTTAACTGTTTGACAAAGTTAAATTAGTTTCTTCACAAACATTATTGAAGAGGTCGATTTCTAAGGCTGACATAAAGTATGACATAGTAGTATGAAGAATGTATTTCTGGACTAGGCGAAAAAACAAAAACAAAACAAAAAAAGGCGAGGTCGCAATAGAAAAAATAAAGAAAACTGGTTGAAATGTTAGCTATTTTGGAACAGTTCCCGTTCCTACTCGCAAAGTATCCTGGTATTTTATTACAGTTATTAACCATGATGGTGATATTTTGAAATAAATTCTAAATTTCTGAACATTTGTAAATCAAGAACTAAAATATTAGGTTAATATCGGGACAATTTGCGGTAATAATGAGGCCTAATGAGGTTGCTAGAAAGATAAAATGTTATTTACCAAAACACCTGATGGGATAATTTGACTTTGTGTGTTTTACTACTGATGATAAAAAGAATATTGATCGCAAATAAATCACCGTCTCTAAACGCCTGTAAACAGCTTGTGTTTGTTCTGGACGGATCAAAGTAAAACTTATGAGATAAAGTGTCTAAATATCCATATTCTACAATGCCTGGATCAGTTTTCATTCCAGAGTTTAAAGGCTCTTCTAACAGTTAGAAGTTAATGTTTTACTCCAGAATCTTGGTGCATGATTTGGGGGGAGCGGGGATGGTGGTGTTGGCATGCGTATGGAAAGTCTTTCACATTATGAGTCTCTTCGTACTGAAGTTGTGCATTCATCCCCCCAGCCTCATCTCACTAGGAGCAAAAATAAAGAATGCTCTGCATGCATTTCTAACATCCCCCTGATACTTTGCAGATAAATGCAGCGCTGTACACGGCATTAGTTTGTAACTGCGGTGTAGTACCTGTTCTATGTGCCTGATAATTTCAAGGGCACAGTAAATTGTGTCGCCGAGGCAAAGGCGAAGTTGCTGCCTTTCCATCGTTTAGTTTGGTTCGCGGAGAAAATACTCGCAATGTCTGTCACAACCCCTCTTAGCACCTCTCTTTCCTTTCCCTGAAAGAAGGTGAATCATTTGGGAACACCTCTCTGTATGACCTAAATGTGAAGAGCCTGCAACGGGCAGGGCCGAATTTGGCTGTGAAGACCCTTTGCACCGCTGAAAGGCGTATTCCGGTTCCCGGAGTAGCCTATTCAGGTCTGTTAGAGACGCTAACGAGATAATTGATGTGCTTTTTCCTCTCCGCTTGTCTGAATGTGTTGCAGGGCTCCCAGTACGAGCTGAAAGATAATCCGGGTGTCCACCCTGCTACCTTTGCTGCCCACACTGCCCCCGCCTATTATCCCTACGGACAATTCCAATACGGGGACCCGGGGCGGCCCAAAAATGCCACCCGGGAGAGCACCAGCACGCTGAAGGCCTGGCTCAACGAGCACCGCAAGAACCCCTACCCCACCAAGGGTGAGAAGATCATGCTGGCCATCATCACCAAGATGACCCTCACCCAGGTCTCCACCTGGTTCGCCAACGCCCGCCGGCGGCTCAAGAAGGAGAACAAGGTGACCTGGGGCTCCAGGAGTAAGGACCAAGAAGATGCAAACCTCTTCGGGAGTGACAATGAGGGGGACCCTGAAAAGAATGAAGATGATGAGGAAATTGATCTGGAGAGCATAGATATAGATAAAATCGATGAGAATGATGGGGAGCAGAGCAACGAGGAAGAGGAGGAGAAGCCCGAGCTCCTGAGACAAAGCAGTGAAGAGGAGCACTTGGAAAAGGAGAAGGATTTGGCACTGTCAGGGTCTGAAGGGCTGAAACCCAAAGATGCACTGGCCATGGTGAAGGAGACCTCTGACAATAGCACGAGAATCATTAGTCCTGGAGGACAGAACAATTTACAGATGCCATCTCACAGCAAACCCAAGATTTGGTCTTTGGCAGAGACGGCAACAAGTCCTGATGGTGCCCTGAAATCTTCTCCTCCTCCACCCCCTCCTCCCCAGGTTAACCACACTTCTCCTCAGATTCAGCATCCTGCTTTTCTCCCTAGCCATGGACTCTACACATGCCAGATTGGCAAATTTCACAACTGGACAAATGGGGCTTTCCTCACTCAGAGTTCTCTTCTAAATGTGAGGTCCTTTTTGGGAGTAAATCACCACCATGCTGCTCATCACAATCACCACCTCCAGGCCCAGCAACAATCTTCTGTTTTAACAGCAACCCTGGGAGCTCTAAGCAGTGAAAAGCCTTCAGAGAGGACCAGTCCCAAACACATAGGTAATTAATGTATCAGGCTTTCACCTCTCCCTCCACCCCCAACACTTGAACGTGAACTTCTCCTTGAGGAATGGTGTCACACTGGTGTAACTGATTGCTTTTAATGGAGCTACAGTTTACTCTAGCGTTGATTTCCGGCCCCCCACCCAGCATGTTGGTCACATACATTAAGCACATTTCACGTGGACTATTACATTCTCACCCTATACGCCCATCAAGTAAGATGAAAATTCAGGAAGAGTGCAGTGAAACATAGAGGTTTGAGCTTTCCTTCCCTCTTTGATGACCCCCATCTCCCAATAACTTCAAGCACAGTAAGAAATGTGTCAAGAAAAGCTTGCAGACTACTTAAATACTAAAAGTAGGGTATAGTGCTGTACACACATACACATGTATTTGTTCACGTCTGCAGGAGGGTGAGAGGGAAGTGTGTTCTTTGCAGTGTCCAGATACTTACTGTTATTATTCTAAAATGGTTCTGCTGTTTTCGTTTGCCTTTTTTTTTTTTTTTCATTTTCTTTTTTTTTTTTTTTTTTTTTTTTTTTTTTTTTTTTTTTTTTTTTTTTTTTTTGTTTCTTTTCTTTTTTGTCTCCTAGAAAGAGAAAATGTACCAAGAACTGACTCCCCACCCCAGCCGCTAAAATCGCCCTTCCAGCCTGTCCGTGACAAGTGAGTTTGTTTGTTTGTTTTCACTGTAGGAATGTTACTTATGTGAAGCAGAGTGTTTGAATAATAAAGACTAATTTTAACACCTAATCATCACCATAATAATACATACCGACAATGAGAACAGCCCAGGAGTTGCTCTAGCATTTTCAAACTTAGACTAAATTGCAATTTTACATAGCCAGACTGTAACTTTTCTAAAACTTAACAGATCTCAAAGATCTTGTGTTAATTACACCAGAGACAATGATTTTTGTGAGATTATCTATTACTAAGAGGCTATAGCAGTAGACACACAACTGAAGAAAAAAAAAAAACTTTTTTTCTGAAAGATTGTTATGTCTTTTATTTTTTTTTTTCCTTTCCTCCCTTCCCCCCCTGCAGCTCTTTGGCTCAGCAAGAGGGAACACCGAGAATTTTAACAGCTCTCCCTTCTGCTTGATTAAATGATTTGGTGAGAAAATATTACAGAGACTGGTATTAAGGACAGAGAGAGTGAAAAAAAGGAAACGGTATAAACGACTCCCATAAATCTCTTTTTGCAATAAGGTGGTGCAAATCCATAAAAACATTACACAAATCTGTAGATGGATCCCCTTACTCATTGTACCATTTCAGATCGTGTTATTCTAACCATTCTTGGATTATTTGTTTGGTAAATGTTTCCCATGTGTTTGTGGTTTTCTTTTTTCTGTATATAGAGTGATTTCAGATTGTAAATAACACGTCAGCAAAACTTGTCTAAATCATATATTTTTGTCTAATAAACTAAATGAAATTATGAGCTCTCTTCAGGTATGTATTCTGTTGCTACAGGTCTTATACATATATTACAAATATATTCAAACATTCATAATTAGTTTTCTAAAAGTAAAGTCTCTTCCTTTGGGTAACTGAATCTTCAAGTAGCAAATCCAAGCTATTTTGCCAAAAAGCAAGCTGCGAGCTTCCTTTTTTATACACGCAAATTTATGAAGTTGAGTGAAGCTGGCTCCTGCCTTAGTAATATTAAAGTTATTTTTTTAATTGTGGTGATTCAGATATGTTCTGTAGTATCCATTTTCCAGACATAAATGGATCTGACTTCCACTCACGTTTCAAAATAGTTTTTAAAACTGAAAGGGACAACTTTTCTCACAGTTCCCTAGTATATAACTTTGCTGTCCAAACTGGTTGCTAAGTTGGATCAAGAGCTTTAGTGCTTTGGTATATATTCTCATCCAAGATGAAAAAACCCATAGTTCAGGAAAAATAATTCTATGTAGCGATATGCGCTTTGAATAAACACAGAGGAAATATAACGGTGAAAAGTATTTTTCTGTGAGATTAAATACAATCTTAATAGAAAAAAAAAAAGAAAAAAAAAAAAGGCAGCTCTTGCACATCTTAGAAGAAAGTTTCGCAATTCCGATCTGCTGGTTGAAAATAGACTGAAAGACAGGATCTATAGTTTTATAAAGGCATTAATCTTCCAAAGACAGTCCGTTGAAATGTGTAATATTTTTGAGTGTTTATTTCTCTTTTTTCTCCTCCTAAATGAGAACACTAAATGAGCATTGAGGTGCTAATAAGATACCAGATGGTTGTTGATGGTGGAAAATGGAAAGAAGCAGCTGGGAAAGTCATTAAGAAATAATGCGGTGACGCCCTATCCAAACTAAACCAACCTCAAACCAGGACTTCTTGGAAACAAGATGAGATTTTCAAATAAAATATTAATAAAATTCTTGTTAGAGATCAGAATATTGATCTTGATTTAGCTGCAAAATCATCTCAATCAAAAAACCTCGGTAAACTATGGCTTAGAGATCTGTTGGCAAAGCGGTGGAGGCGGTGGGCTCTTATATTTTGCGTTTTTCTGATGGAGCAGAGAAACAGGTCAAGCAAAATAGATTTTGCGTGGAATATCTGAAGGAGAACTTCTGGAAAGAGACTCATTTTGACATCCTGCAGTTCCTAGCATACCATAAATTACTCTGTATTTTGGCTTTTAGCTGTTTCGGTGTATTTTTTTTTTCCCTTTTCTTAAATGACAGACAGTG